TTTCCTATAGAACACAAGCTCACAAATAATATTATTAAGAGTTTCATTGTTACAAAGTTTCAAAGGCCATAGAGTGACCTTTGCTTGATCCCTCTGGGCCTGTCTTGATGTTGCCCACCCTCCAAAAGCAAAGGAAAGGCTACCTTGGTTGATTGACTATGAAGTGTCCACACTCTGGGCCTCTGCTCTGCCTTACTCATAAGATGTCTAAAGTGGTTCTCCCAAAGCACTTTGAGGATTCTTCTGAGAACATATTTTACCTCCCATTAGTCTGTGAGCTTCTTAAAAGCAGGGGCTACATCTTCATGCTTCCTTGAATCTACAAGTTGTATATATATTTATTGCTAAATAAATGTTTGCTGAAAATGAATTAAAGAGAACAAAGCAAGCAGCATTGTTATTTTGAAGCCATGTGCAAAATTTCTGAAAGGCCCTTTCCTTTCCTTGTTTTTTTCAGAGCAGGAATCACTGTCAAGGCAAAAGTCCAAATTCTCCAACTGGTATCAGTGCGCTCCTTTCATCCTTTTCATTTTCTACATTGAGTTATATTGTTCATTTAAAGAACATTTGTTAAAAATGATACTTGAATTTTGGTGATGAATATAATCTGTAGTTTTAAGAATGTCTATATGAATCTACTAGTTAGCTCAAATATTTAGATATAAGCCTGTTTTCAAAGCTTTTTTGTTGTTGTTAAGAGCTATTTTGATTTAAAAAATTAAGGTTTCTGGAAATATTTTCTATATTTTTGTTAAAACAGTAATTTAACTTACTTCAGCAAATCCTTTCATAATGACCTCTGGAAGATTCTGTATATTTGAACAGACTAGCAAAGACCTGCATGGGACTTTAATAAAGAAGGTGAACCACTCCATAAAACGCATAAATGTCCCACACTGGCTGAATACTACATTATCTTAAGAGCTGTCATCCAATTCACACCCTCCCACATAGACACATACACATCCATCTTTTCATATATTTTGAACTGAAAACTGAGAACGCTCATTTGTGCTTGGGGATAAGTTGCTTTCAAAAAAAACATGATAAAGTGGAATAAATTTAAACAACAAAACAGTAATTAAAAAAATGCACCACAGACACTGCATCACTAAGAAAGCCAGTAACTTTACTGAATTGTCTGCAAAATACAAATTATACCTTATTTCCAGCAGGAGAAACTTTTGAAAATTCCCCACTTTAATTCACTACAGACAGCTGAATTAAGTCCCTTGAGATACACAGATGTGGTTTAACTTAGGTGTAACATCTTGTCATCTAGTGGCGACAAAGTCCAGCTTATGCCGCTGTGAGCCTCTATTTGAATACTTGTTGCAAATGCTTGTATGCCCTCATTTACAAGCTATTTTAATTACTGTCATTGAATGGAAACAAGTCCCCAGAAAAGGAAAAGGAAGAAAAATGATACAGCAAACCATCTGAAGCAATCCAAGTCCTAGGCCCAGACCCGGGTCTATTTGCTCTAAGAGCACACGGCGACTGCATTCAAACCACAGCAGAATCCATCATTTAGCTGACCTCTCTGAATTAAACTGAGGTATGAATCAATTTGAGGTATGAACAGGGAAGGCAAAATGCAATACCCAATTATCAAAATAACCAAAATGGACGAATTTAATGCAGAAGATATGTGGCTTGGATTGCTCCACATCTTTGGTTAAAACATATTAAGAAAAGCCTTTAATTACATCTGTAGTCTGAAGCATTCTAACAGACACCAGTATTCAAACAATCTTCAAAAGATCTGTAGTGGCAGGAAATTAACGCCATACAAGTGACGACACCACAGCAGATGGCACGAACGAGAACAGATGAAGTATGCCATGCTTAGGCGACAGCCTTTATTGAAGGTTCAAGTGGCTTCTTTAAAAAAAATTTAAAGAAAGAAATACAAAGCATTTACTCTCTTGAGGAAAAAAAAAACAAGGGGGAACAAGGGAGAAAAAAAATGCTATCTCTAAGTTAAAAGATGAGTACGTCAGGAAAACAAATATGAAGTAATGTGAGAGGGCAGACATTCTTTTAAAAAAGGGTCTTGGGTTTTGTTTTTAAATTCTTACTTTAGTTAACTTTCAAATGATCTAAAGATGACAGGTATTTTCATATTCATCATTACAAAACATTAAATTCCACCTTTGGGAAAAAATAAGCCATTTTACTAAAAACCACAATTTTTAAAAAGGTTGAAATGGACAGCTTCCACACACCAATGTGTACAATATACAGGCTGTGCAGCTTGCATATTTGCAACACTGTTACCAGTATTTCAGCTTAAAATCTTTAAAAATAGGATTAGGTATAACAATAGTTGCAGCCGTGTAAAATGCCACTTATGGTTCCTTTACTTGCAATGACGAATGTTCTCTAAAATGTTTCTCTAGGCCAGGTAATGTAAAATACTAATCCCTCAGAGCTCTGCCCCAAACTCCTAGATACAAAGGATTTTCTGTGATTAAAAATCATACTTGCTTTGCAAATACAATAAATGGTAAAGTACAGAAAAGGTGTAAGGGTAAAGATAGACAGTGGCTGTTTACAGAAAGTGACTGATCACAATGAAAATTGTGCTTCTTCTCATTAAATCATCTTACAAAATTCTCCGATTATCCCTTCGCTATCTGCCACCACTTTATATGAATTCAGCAGTGGGGACGAGGTGACTGGCATCCGTTTTCAAGTGATTCCGTTCTTTTCAGGTTCTTATAAAACTAACGCCAGAACTGCTATAAATAGCAGAGGCTTCTTCTGGTACTTTAGCTTTCTTTATCTTCAGCATTAGAAATTCACATGTTTTTTTGTTGTCGTTGCTGAGGCAAATTGCAGGTAAAAAACTAATATGGCTATTTCTTCATATTTCATATAATGACCCTTTCCCACCCACTGGTAAAATTCTATTGATAAACACACGTTTTTTTTTGAAATGACAAGAAACATTTGTGACATGCTTGCATATTTAATTCACATCAAGTTATAAAGATGAATTGTCAGGATGGGATCAAGCCTATGGTGAAATAATGACTGATTTTCTTTACCCCTTTATGTGCGTGTGTATGCACATGTGCACACACAGATGTATAAGTAAGTGTGTCTGTAGGGATAATTTTGGTGTTCTTCTGCACAAATGCTATTTTTCATGTTCCATGGATACCTTTTGTAGTGGGATATATATGAAATGACGGATAAGTCATTTTTTTTTTGTTTTTAGTATATAAAACATTACTACAAGGCAGGCTAGCATCCTATACGGATGCAACCAAAGGTGCTTTGTGGTCTAATTACGGATTGCAGATCAAGTTAAGAAAAATATAGCCTCGCTAATAAGGTCTTTTGGCTTCTGCCACCCAGCGGCAGCCATTTACAATGAGAAACGTAACAACTATGCAGGTAAAAGGGGGAAAAGGGGATCAGAAATGTCCCACGCATGATGTAGCAGAACTGATATTACTGTATCCTTTGCTGCGTATGTCAATGTTGATGACTGGAGATGAATCGACAGATCTTCACATTCCAAGAGAAGGAAATCATTCCTAGCCTGACATATCACTTCAACACTATATATTGACTTTTTATGGCACTCACTTTTTAAAGGGTCTGAAAATTAATTCCTTATAGACAAATACTAGACAAGAGTTATATTTTCTTGAAAATTAAAAAAGGGACATAGAGAAGTTCTTTAATGGGATTTCTTGAAATGGCTATTAAACCTCTTTATTGAAGAAAAAATAGATGACATACATGCTTTATGCAGAAGTGACATTTGGGGGTCCTGAAACATCAGGTCGTTGAACAGTCCTATATTGCTGACAAGATTGTTACTGGTCAGTTAAAATGATTAAAGTGGACGACAAGTAACTATCCCTTCATCTGCTTCCTTCTTTTCTAGCACCCAGTCTTTCACATTTTTATTCTGTAGGAATTTATAACTTATTCACCAAGCAAACTTCACATTACTTATTTCTAGGGCCATACCTTCAGGACATGGGCCCCAGCACAGCTTCTTACTCTGGGCATATTTCTAAGAAACAAATCAAATTCTAGGCTGAAAATCAACCATGTAAATTTAGAATATGGGCAAGTTAGGTTATGCACTTACTGAATTCCAAGATGCATGGTGTAATGGAGAGATCTGAAAGGGGCCCTGCATTTGATAAAATGCAAAAAACAAAACAAAAGTAATAGTTTGAAAGAAACTAATTAGTATATACAATGGATGTCAGTTGACCCAATAGTTTGCTGTTGTTTAAAAAACAATTTAGGGTGTTGCAATGTGGTATGTTGTAACCCCACAGGTTATCCTTTTGACAGCTGACCTTGAACTTATAAAATGTATGCAGAGTAAAAGAAACCAGAAAGAAAATAGTTACTCAAATGTGCAACTGCACAAATATACCCCCCACCCGCTATTAAGATAACAAAACTTCTGCTATTACCATAATATTATATATATTAGAAAGCTATACACAAGCATGTTAATTTCACAGATTTTTTTAAAAGATTCTTAATATTTTATATAATTAGAAACAAACAGTCCTGTAGAGGAGTACAATGAGAACTCCCTAGAGATAACAGAGTACATAGATTCAAAAGAACAATTAAAGACATGATAAAGAATTCAGTGTATTTAAAGAACACATGAAGAAAGAAAAGTCCTTTTTGGGATTTTACAGGACTGTTTAAAATATTAGCGAAGCTATCAAGGGGAAAAAACACATTTTGGCTTAAACTACAAAAAGCCACAAATGCTTTGCAAACTCTGTCTTACCTTTTATATGAAAATAAGCAAAATGTAATGTACATATTTTTATATTTTTATTTAATAAGAGATGCAGAAATCAAAGAATGAAAGAAGATAGAGAGAAACTTCTGAAAGAATTCACAAAGGATTTAGAAATATGGAAGAATACTCAGGATGAAATGAAGAAGGAAATTAAACACTCAATAAGCCAATTAGAAATGACAGGAGAAAGCCTCACCAATGCCATACGCCAATAGTATGCCTGCAGGTTTGTGAGCACACTCAGGACATCAGGTGACCGGGCATGTTCCTAACATTTACCAATGGCCACCCCTTGCCGGGTCTGTCCAAACTTCTATACATTTTTCTATATGTTGCATAACAGCTGCTCTCTCTTTCAGTAAAGATCTGCCGCTTTTGGCAAATGTTTCCTTTTGTCTATTTACATGTAAATAACGTTGAACCTGCAACATGACACTATCTATTGTAACATACATTTTGCAAAGGAGCACAACAGTGAAAAGAAGTTAGCCTTAAAATCTATTTTGTACAAGTGTTCTGTTGTACAACTCAAGTGCTAAGCTTATCTCAGCATTTCTGTTTATCTTTATACTGTATCACTGAGGCAATTTAAAAGTACTTTTACAAAACAGAGTACCTGACTTTTTTTTTCCACACACGGCACATATAATGCATATCGACCCCCCTTCCCCATTAAGGTATAGCACACACACACACTGCAAGAAAAAAAAAAAAACTATTAAGTAATAATGTGATCATGTTGCCCATCCTTCAGAGAGTCGCATGCGCTTGACTGAGGGACTTTCCCTTTCGTCCGGCGAAGGTCTGGTGAGTCCAATGGGAGAGTGGAATTCGTTCCGGTGATCCTCTCGGTCGCTCCCGTCGTAGGAACTGCTACAGCTGCTCAAGCTGTCAACAGGAGATCTCCCCGCCTCGTGGCGCGTATGTTGTGGGTATCTCGAAGGGGTGGTGGTACGGTCTCTAGGAGGAGAAACAGGTTCTGACTTGATGTTGAGGCTTTGAGTAGAAGGCAGGGAGAGATTTGAACTCTGAGATAAATGAGTGCTAGTGCAAGCTCTGTAGGAGGAAAGGAAACCCAGTTACAGATGGAGGAGGCCTGGAGGCCCCAGGAACTCACAATTACAAATACATTAGCTTAAAGACTCGCATAGACACCAGAGCCCAGAGTGAGAAGTGCTGCTAAGCACGGAGGGGCATTCCTGTCTTAGAGCACTCAGGAAGCCTCTGCTCTTGGCCTGGTAGTAATTACAACATTTAAGCGGCACAGGCCTCATGAATCATATCTGTAGTTGCTGACAGGCTCCTTAACTGTATCGGTTATCTTTTCAGAAAGGCTTAAGACATGATACGAAATTCATTCTCTGTGTTCATGGAATTTCTCTCTAAATTATTTTCGACTTAATTTTCTAAACCTTGGGAGACAGTGTTGGACTTGGAGTTACACTCTCTTGATTTACTAAAGCCTCTCTTTGCAAATTATTTTTAAAAATTTATTACTGATGTAAACATTTCCCTCCAGTTAATAAGCACACACAAATGGAGTTATAAAGTCCTAAGAGAAAACGAAGAGTTCAGATTTCAAATGAACAGAACCCATCAAATATTATGTAATATCTATAATTGACAAAAAGCTTGAAAGAAGGAAAAGAGAGCAAAGGAGGAAGGACAATGAAAATTATCTGCACAAAGTTTAAATATTGGCCTAAAAGCAGACGTTCTACCCCACTAAAACTGATGCATAATTGGGCTTCCTCCATCTTTTGCTCTTATATGGGATGAAAGTATTGTCTGGAATCCCTAATTCCCTCAACTTTACTATTGCTAGGCAACAGTGCTCATGGGGTATTTAGGGTACCACTCCTCTTATTTATAATTAACATTAGTTGAGGAATCTGTTGTTAAGGAAATATTGTGGCAAAGAAATATGTAGTGTGTTATTATTATTACTGTGTGTATAATCTTCAATCTTCCCTAATTTCCAGAGTGTATATTCTACCCTTCTTTCGAAATTTGGGAGACTTTAGAGAAGCCCTTAAGTGTAGATTAGCAATTACAGTGACATTGATCAGGATAAACTGTGGTCACCTTGCTGGAATCAGTTTTAAGATGCTTTCATTTTTTTTTTTTTTTTTTCGCTCTGACTGATATCCACGGCTAGAACCAGTCTGACCTCACCATAATGTCAAGAAAGTACAGTAGTCTTTTTAACTGAGGAAGATGCACAGAAAAGGATAATCTATACAGATACACCCATTTTAAACAAAGGGAAGCAAGCCTACCTATTAATGTATGTAATTATGCTGTGTCCCAATGGAGAGAACTGGGTGTGTCAGCAACACGTTGTTCTGAGCAGAATATTTGTATATTCTAGAGGAAACAGTGGAGAAACCTGGGACTGGTTTTTGGGAGATGCAATATAGGTTTAAGATGTATAGAGTTATAAAATTAGTCAGGAGTGACTTAATCTTTGAGTAATGCTTTATACAAAAGCACCACCTACTGGCAAGGAATTCCTTTCGTCTCTTATTAATAGATGAGCTAATGTACAGAACAACATAAAGAGAATTATTTGCTTCTTTAAGATTTTCTTTCTCTGGCTTTGTGATAGTCTGAGCTCTGATAGCAAGGTCTCTATTTCAGTGCATATGATTTTCAATCTTTGTTTAGACCTGGAATGATTTATTTGAAGCTTACTATTTTAGTGTATGTTATTTTTCTAATTTTGTAAGAGTTTTAATTAAGTAGTCTTTAAATCAAGAATATATTAAGATGAAGGAAAGGGAAACACCTGTGTTTCAAAGGCTTTATAATGGAGTATTTAATCTTTGTTCAAAGTTACTTAATGATTAGTTTTGATGTTAGAGGAAATCTTCTTTTGATTTCTGGAAGAAAGACTTTTCCTGGCTCTGGGTAAGAAAGACTATTTCACTAAAATTCAATTAAATGCTTTTGCTATGGATTACACAACTGTCTAATAATGGATGCTAATTAGGAGTCTGAAAATGACATAGCATATCAATAAATACTTTTGTCTGCCCTTTGACATTTAACTTGCACTTCTCTAAGCATGGTAGCATGGAACATTTCTAAAAGCTTAGTGAATTGTATCAGATAGGTAATTAATCTATGCAAATTAAATTAAAAGTAATATAATCAAAATGGCATTCGTTTAATGGCATCTGAAAGCTGCATTATACATTTATTTGCATCAGCTCTCAATGTCAACTGGCATGTATAGGTTTAGCTGCATCTCGTTCCCCATAAAAGATGGAACAATTACTGGTGATTCTTTTCTATGAATAGGACAGCTTATCTTATGGTAGAATTTCATTTGACACTCAACACATACACAAGTTTATTCTGAGTCGTGTAGCTCTGGGGACTAAATCTACAGTAATGAAATATAAGTGGCATCTTAGACTCCACTTCACTTCAGTGTAATGCAGAACACAACACAGAATAGCTAATCTCTGCTATCAAAGAAGTACTTTCTTGAAAAGAGAAAGTAGCATGAAACCTCATTTTACTATATATATGCTAGTTTATTCTCAGGAACAAAGCACAACTGTGAATAACTGTAGAAGACTTCATACATGCAAGTGAGTGATAAAGAGGTAAGAGGAAATGTAAGGAGTCAACTGTGCATGTTGCCATGTCAGGTCCTCCACAAGTTTTGTCTACTGTAGATGACTCTGAGTTGAGAAAACTACCCTTCCACTGGATTGTCCAGAAATAAAAAGTGAATAACTTTATTCAAATTCCTCTCACCCCCTCCCTGGAATTAAGCTCCCTTACTACATTTAGCTTACTACACTATTATTTTTTTTTAAGAGACAGTTTTTACTTTTATTCCTCCTACCTCAGCCTCCCAAGTGCTGGCATTTAGAGGTGTGCACCATCCCACCCAGCTGAGCCTACTTAAAAAAAGGAAAACATGGGCTGGAGAGACAGCTTAACAGTTAACAGCACTGGCTACTCTTGCAGAGGACCCAGGTTCGATTCCCAGCACCCGCATGGCAGCTAATAGGCCAAAAACCGTATGTTAACTCCAGTTCCAGGGAGTCTGATGCGCTCTTTTGACCTTAACATGCATTGCATGAAATGGGTGCACTTACATATATTCAGGCTATACATTCATACACATAAAATAAATTAATAAAAAGGAAATCTTTTAAAAAACACAAAGATTTATTTATGTATATGCATGTATGTCTGTGTGTGATTATGTGCATGTATGTGTATATGCCCACAGAGGCCAGAAGAGGGTTTGAGTACCCTGGAGCTGGAGTTACAGGCATTTGTCAGCAGCCCAACATGGTTGCTCTGATTCTATGCAAGAGAAGCAGCTGTTCTTAACCACTGAGCCATCTCTCCAGCCCAAGTTTAACTTTTAAAAGTATCTCTACTCAAAGTTTTCTCCCTCGGTATGTACTGAACATCCTCATGGATAATGTGTGGGCATGCTTCCAGAAAATAGGTTGCCCCCTTTAGACAACTGAGAAAAAGACCTGAAAGTTGAGGGTCATTTTTCTAAAAGGGCAAGTTCCTTCTAGACATGTCTTATATAAATTTAGGTTGCTTGTCTAATGTTGCTATATAAAATAGACACTACATATTATCTAAAGACAACAGTATTAAGGATGAAGAGAACTTTTCTGAAGGACAAAATAAGAATTCTATTATACTTTTACAGTTTTTTAAAAAATATTTTATTCATTATTTTATGTGTATGAGTGTATTGCCTGCATGTATGTGAGTGTGCCCATGTCATGCAATGCCGTGGAGATCAGAAGAGGGCTTCGGATTCCCCTGGAACTGGAGTTAAGGATGGTTCGTAGCCACCGTGTGGGTGCTGGGAATCGAACCCGGGTCCTCTGCAAGAGCAGTCAGTGCTCTTAACTGCTGAGCCATCTCTCCAGCCCCATACTTTTACAATTTTGAGAAAGAACTGCGGTAGCCATGTTGGGCTGCTGGGAGTATCGATTTTGGTGGAACCAAATCTATTTCCTTCTTTGCTTGGAATATAGTATCTACCTAAGAATGAGCCCTGAACACAAGTCTGTGATACTGACTTGGCAAACATCAATTCTTTAATTTATTTTACATAAACATTATAATAGGTTTAAAAAAGTTTGTATGAACATGAGATAGGCCATTCAAAGGAACCTTACAAAAATCTACTATGTGTGTGCATGTGTGAGTGAGAGAATGAGTATGAGGATGTGTGGAGGTACAGAGGGAGGGATAAAGGGAGGGAGAAGGTGAGAGAGACACACACACAGAGGGAGAGAAATTGTAATGACTGGGCTCCTATCAATTTGAGGTATAAGGGAAGTGACTAAGTGCAATTACAACTCATAGACTGAATTAAAATTGTGCAGAATGAGATTCTGCATTGAAAAAAATGGGAGCTGAAATCCTTGGTTGCTGCCGTTCAGTTTCTTTCCAGTTCAGGGATGTTTCTCCATTCTCATTTATGAGCAGTGGAGAACTGCATTCTCTCTATGTGACAGAAGATTTTTTAAAATTGTGGTATGTAAACAAATATGTATATGTCTTCATAAGTAAAAATGGTGAGATATTATTAAAAAAAGAAAAGAAGTCTATATTTAGGTGAAATAATGGCTTTAAATTTTTAGTTTATATTTTAATGGATTAACATATTGTGTATCGCAAGCACTTTCAGTAGCTGGTTTTCTCCTTCCACCGTGAGGGTCTCAGGGATCAAATTCAGGTGGTCAAAGTTGTTAGTTAGGCTTGCTGACAAGCACTTTTACCCAATGAACCATCTGGATAGCCCTGATACAGAGTCTGACACAGATAATACCTTGAGGAGAAATTTAGTGCATTAAAGGGTGAATTTTGTGAAAAATTAGAAATTAACAGTTCTTATTATTGACAAGAAACATGTATGGGAGGTTTAGTGCTCATCCACAGCAGTGCAATGACATCTATGCATATCTTCAAAATGCCTGTATAGGGCCAGGTGTGGCAGTGCATGCCTTTAATTCCAGCACTTGAGGCAGAGGCAGGGGGACCTCTGTGAGATCAAGGCTAGCCTGGTCTACATGGGGAGTTCCAGCTCTGCTGGAGCTACAGAGAGACCTTGTCTCAAAACAACTCCCCTAAATGTCTGCATAGTATTATGTACTTAGTAATGATTACCTGAAGAAATAACTGCACTTAATATCTACTTGTATAATCAGCATTGGAGGGAAAATTTAAATGTCCTAAAGAGAGAAACTCACTGTTGAGCAACACTTCATACATCTTCAATTTTAACAATTGTTCAAGAAAGCACAGCCACAAGGTCCTCTGAATTTGTTTTATTATATACATGGAAGATTAGACATTCAGTGACAGTGATTAATGAGTGGTATGATCAAGAGCAAGAGGTGAATGTGGGATGGCATATCAGATTTCTGATTTATCTTCCATCAATATCCATATGAAATTAGGTGGGGGACAGGCGAGGACAAGGGTAAGAGAAATAAAATTGTGATGTAAACCAGCGACTTTGATAATGAGTAGACCCCCCTAGACATATAGATATGGAACTAGTTAACAAATATAACTAGTAACTAAATGGCTCAGTAGAAAATCAAAAGTGGGTTAAATATGTAGAATGTTTCCAAAATACGAACTCATCTTTAAGTAGTTTATGTCTTATTTTCTTTTAAAGATTAATTCAATTTTGGAGTTAGTTGTGAAAATTAAAGTAAAATATTTAGTTTTAGCTTAAAAATATCTTATAAGAAACAGTGTTAATTGTGAATTCAGGTCATTAAATTTAGGGTCTGAATCCTTAGATAAATGACAGACGTCGTTTCTGTGACTAAGATATATCTCAAAACTACCACAAGGGGGCAGAAAGATACATATTTTGACCAGAAAACAACAAAAACTATTTTTATACCCAAATTTAGTAATTATCTCTATATGTGTACTAATTAATGGTTTTACATATATTTTACTAAAATGTCTACAACTGCATAACTATAAAATGAACATATTATAAATATACAAAGCCAGTATAGAAATGGAACAGTTAGTTGATCCTATGAACATTAGGTTCACATTAGAATAAACTACGTGGTTTGTGTTATGTGAGAATATCAGATATCTCAAAAATGTAAAGAAATTATAATATAAATGCCTTCAAAATTTACAAATGAAATGTGTGAAACCCTACTAAATAAAAATTCCATCACTGATAGAAATAGAAGAAATATAGTCTAAAACATAAAGGAAAGACTGTACCTAATTATCAGAGCTTCCAATTCTCTTAAAAATAAGCTAGGTAATATTTAAGATATTTGAAATGTATTGAGCTGAAAAGGACTTCCATCTTCCTATAAAACAGTATTTTTTGCCCTTTAATGGCACATTAAAACACATAGTTAAAGACAGGCATTTACCATTTAAAAAAAATCTAAAAACACATTCTAAAGTTATGTTACAAAAGACATGATATTGCTTACCCCAACTGACTGAGGGCAGACGGTGGCATGTTATGTAGGTGTTGCTGTTGCCAGCCAGTTACGGAGCCAAGGTGGAGAGCGCTGGCAGTGTTAAACCCAGACAGAGATGACAGGTCTGCACTACTCAGAGAGTACTCTAGATGAAGGAATAAAGAAGGCATCAAGAGGGCACATTTAATTTGGAAACTGTCAAATGGTAACTAAAATTGAACATTTTAAATTTCTAAAACACAATCGAATCAGATTTTTTTATCTGAGAGATGAGGGGGATAAAACACCAGGGATAATTTTAATTAAAAATAAAATATTATTCAGCAAAGTAAATATTCCACAAAAGATTCAAAGTAACTTAGCTTAAAAGTGTATACATGTTTGATAGCCTAGAAATGTTTTTTTTCTATTTAAAAATCTCTGGAAGGTGAGTTTTCTATTACATTAAAGAAATGATAATTCCTTTGAAATTTTGAATTTGGTTTGGGTAAGTAAAAATTCCAGGCTCTTAAAAAAATGCAGACAATTACTCTGCCTTAGTAACGAACAAGTGATGGTATAGCGTGTTGGGACACGGGTACTACCTACAGTTCCCTGTAGGGTACAGATCATAACTTTAAAAAATATGCCTTTTAATAGAAAGTAATTTACTGTAATATTTGCACATAGCAAAGCTACTCACCAGTACCATATGTTGTTGAAATGGCTGATGGATATCCTCCCATTCCTTGTCCTGGTAAAGTAGGAGTTGCTACGGAAACCACTGGGGTAGCCAATGACTGAGCTGACTGGGAGTTATTTATCCTTTGATTCTTTTAAAGTAAATAAAAAGACATTATTAATGGAAGATTTTAAAAAGTTAAAAATATTAGGTTTCACTATTAGTTTTGCACATAAAGAAATAAGTTGGTACAAAGCTCATGAAATTAATCATTTAACATGTGTCTCTATGAACTCTGCCAACCCTATCATTTACAATCCTTCAAGAGACCAGCTGTTGCCATAGTAACCCATTACATCAGTATCTCCTAGGCAACGGAACTAGTAACAAGTACCATAGCTTTATTATGGGTAAAAACAGACTATGTTGAGAACTGATGAAATATGTATACTGTACTTCCATTGTTTCAGTTTTATTCAAATGCAAATTAAAAAATTAAAATCAACCATGGTGGTTTTTATGATCACTTCTATGCACAGCAAGAGCACACCAGTAGGGAGTCATGCTGCACTCTGACCAGCAGGTGGTGCTCTGACCACTTTCTTTAGCGTCTAGGCTCCCTCCAAGAAGATGTCAGGCAGCTAATGCCTGTATTTAACTCCTCTTAGCAAAAAGATAGAAGATGCATAAACTTAAAATCATGATACTTTATTTCTTAGAACATAAAAATTTTAGTTTTAAATAACTAAAGAAATATTTTTGCGTGTTTGGATGACGCTGTAAGTCACATCTTAAAAATATTGAAAACATGGCCTCCAGTTATAAGGTTGAGACAGAAAAACCAAAAACCAGAAAACAAAAACCAGATATTCTTTTCACCCGTCAGTGATCCTGGAAACTTTCGGTATTTAAGCATAATCAATGAGAAAAAAGAAGGTAAGTTTCAAAATCTTTCCATCTTATCTTAGCTAGCACTTTATACTAAAGGTAGTTTCCATCCCCCCACCCCCATACACTCTGAGGGAAGGGTTCTCACCACTTACCAAAAGCAGGTCCACATCCTCAGACTGGGAGCATGGGGAAGGAGTTTTATTAATTAGTTTCTGTAAATATTTATAATTGGGCAAAATCTTTTCAACAAAAGGAAAAGCATCTTCTGATAGACACAACAGTTTAAACAGCCTTACAGTGCTAACTCTAAAGATAACTCCTTACAAAGGCATTCTTTGTTTCCCTTAATGAGGTGTTTGTCTCAAATGTGAAGACAGTCTATCTGGTTTCTAGCATAGGTCAGTGTCTCAATGTTCATTATTTCACTACCACATTTTGAGAGAGAGAGAGAGAGAGAGAGAGAGAGAGAGAGAGAGAGAGAGAGAGAGAGAGAGAGAGAGAGAGAGAGAGAGAGAGAGAGACTGACTGTATTTTGAAACCCCACTTGGCTAGAGAAAGGGGAATCACACCTGGCTGCCAGAGACAGAGACCTGACAGGCCACTTGAAAAATCTTTGGGGATGCATCAGTTTTAAAGAATATGGGACAAATTTGATGATAGAAACTGCCTGCCTTGCCTGGCCCACACTGACTGCATCCCTGTGTGCGGTTTTATTTGTTAGAACCAGTCTTTTCTAAAGGGAATGTTGAATATTATATGATTTTTGGGGTGGTAATAGATATTCAAAATTAACCTGCACTGTGTCAATAAACTAATCAGTTCACAGGACTATTTTACCCAGAAGCTTGCCACAGAGCAGAGCAATCTAGGAAAAAGAAAAGAAATACTTGCAGAACCATCTAAATTTGTCTACTCACTTTTGATTTTTAAATGTTCTCACTGTTAAGCACTGTTAATTTGGAGAACACTTTATTTATCTATCCTAGCTTGTTATCTATCTCCCCCACCCCTCTCTGTTGTTGAGCCTGGTACCACATATTCTTTTCATCTTAATCATGCAGTACCATGAGAAAGAAAATTATACAGTGTGGGAATATTACATATACAATTAAATTCATACTTCATATTTTTTTCTTAAAGGTATGCTGCAGCTCTTTTTCAATATAAAATATAATCTTTGTTCTCAAAATGTCTAGGGTTTTAACACAGTTTGCTTTTCAGAGTTAATAGTTTTCATAAAGCACATAAAGGCGAAGATGAATTGAGACAGTGTATAGGCATGTGATATATTAGACATTAACAGTGCAATACATCTAAGAAAGGAATTTCCAATTAATACAAGAAAGTTCATTTAGGAATTATGGAAAGTATTTTTCATTGTCAGCATCCTGAGGACATAAATAGCTCAATAATGTAAAAACACTATGAAGCACCTCAGAATTACTCTTCCTATGAAGTACGATTCGACCAAAGGTAGAATTGTTTTCCTAACTATAAATTGAGACCTTTAGGAAGAAAAGTTTTCCTTGTTCCATGAAAACAGTCCTATAGAATTTATTGGATTTTTTTTTTTTTAACGTAGAAAAGGAAAATGCAAAATCAGTTACCACATTCCCATCAGTAGTGTTAAAAACACTATTAGTTAATAGTGTGAATTTTCTGGAAAAACATAAATAACTCATATTAAGACAAATACTAAAATAGCAAAGCATATGCATATATAATATCGGCATTATTTAAAATGAAGTTGCACATTACCACTGATGGCATCGTGTTCTTGCTGCCAGGTGGAATAAGAACCCGGAGATCTGGTTTACGATTATTCATTCCTAGATTCATCGGGGGAGGAGATTTGGCTTGCATATTCTTGTTCAAGTTACCAGGTGAGACCAGCAGACCTGGTGAGTTTCGGGGATTGCCATACCCATTCCCTGTTAACACAAAAAGTGGCAGAACTCAGGACAAACTCTAGACTCAAGCATGTTTCTAAAGAATACACTATATGAGAATAGAAAGGAAAGCTTAACAGTGAGACACGCAGTGTGCACACAGAAACCACAGGATAACTGATTTAACCTGTGTGTAGGGCAGCAACCCAGGTAATTATTTAATACACTTCGAAAGATGAAAAACTTTTCATGAAAAGAGAGCGAATACACATCAACCTGTTCCGAAATCAGCATATCGTATGCTTTTTTCTTCCTATTAAAATTTTTTTCCGGAAGAAAGTCAGACAGCCGCTCAGGATCTAAGAAAAGCACAGAATTGGTCCTGCGCTTTAATTGACTAGTTTGGTGGAGGGCGGGCTGGAGTGACTCACTATTTCAGTTCACTGGTTTGGGTTTTATTCTGTGTGTCCTTAGATGAGAAAGGGCAAAGCGGCAAGACTGTCATTTCCAGGCCACGCGCAGGAGGAGGGGAAGCTACACACACGTTTTGCTGCTCAGTCTCCTTGACTCCGAGTGAATGCGCTCAATGGATGGCCTTTCTTGTGTCTGCTTTGCCCTCCTCACCAAATTCTGCGCATAGCCCTGTAGCTTGCTGGATTTCCTGCTCATGCAAATTTTCAAAAAGCAACACTCCTCAGGCGCTGAATCCTCCACTGAGTGCTGACTCATCCAGACACAGGAAAAGTCACCAATTGGGAAGACAGAAAGGGTTCTTTTAGGACTCTGATATTTAGCCCCCAACTAACAAACTGAGTATCTGCAGGCCTCCACTTTTCCTATTTAAAATACACTGCTCCCTGATAGGAACAGCTACGGAGGAGTTTGGTTGGAAATGCAACTTGAGCTGGCATAAGATCTGACTCAGAAAGCCATCTGCTGGCTCCCTGATGAAGAAGAGAAACCAACGACCTGACTCCCTAGAAAACTAGCCTGTTGTTTTCTGAGGCTCGCTACAGGAGACAGTTAAATCTCACTGTTATTGTCATCATTATCATTATCTCAAAACACAAGTATCTAGGGGCTGAAGAGATGGCTCAGAAGTTAAGAACATTGGCTGTTCTTACAGAAGACCCAGGTTCGAATCCCAGCACCCACATGTCTGTAACTCTAGTCCTTGGGGATCTGACAGCCTCTTCTGACCTCTGCAGGCAGTGCACAACACGGGTGCACTTACCTACATGCAGGCAATACACACATACACATAAAAATATTTTAAACACACACACACACACACACACACACACACACACATATATAAAACACACAAGTATCTATTACCCCTAGATGAAGGAGACCATGTGCCATGACTCAGTGAGGAGGCAAAGACAGGGCTCTAGCCCTGAAAGGCCCGGAAATCCCTTTGTAGTAGTGCAATACATTCCTGTGGAACATGTACAAACATGTACAGCACAGGGAGGGGTGCCTATAGAGTGATACAGATTAAATGTTATTCAGTTTCCATGAGGGAAGAGATTTCCTAATAGAGGTTCTTAGAAGAGCAAGGAACTGATTTAGGTCTCAACAAAAGAGAAGACGTAAGGAGGTGAGCTGAGCTTGTAACTGGGGTGATAAGAGGACTGAGTGAGGAATTTACAGAGCATCCTCAGGAGAAACCTGATTAGAAAGAAGCCCATGTAAAAGTGTATGTAAAAGGTGTGTCTTGGTCTGTGGAGGCCATGGTGACTTGGATTCTACGCTAGAACCCTTTGGGTTAATATGGAAATGTAGATCACCCAGAGTTTCAAAAGAGAGGAAGAACAGCCTTCCAAGTGATCAGATATCTACTGGCATCAGAATACCTGGACTTAGGAAACCTCTCTGTTGTTATGTGGACCAGTCTGGTGATTAATGTGATGGCTTCAGACAGAGACAAGAAGGAGTTGGAAAGGGAAAGCACAGGTATATTTCAAGGAGACAATTATGGGAATATCTTTCTAAATGTGTACTAATTTTATAAAGCAATGGATTTCATTTTGACGTTTTTACAATGTGCAACATGTACAATGTACTTTGATGATATTCACCTCTGTCGCCCTCTTTTGTCCCCTCTACCCCACGTTAGTTCCTCTCTTCTCAAACAGTTCCCATGGGAACATTTTTTTGAATCAAAATATATTTGGGGTATACTGCCTAAAACACATTTGTTCTTTCTATCCAATTCATTTACCTGCCTCATTTTGTGAATAAATAGGCTGAATATATAACAAATAACTGCAAGATTCAATCTCTCAATTGGATTGTGCATAAAAATTTCCAAGTTCCTGGAGGCAAAACAAAAATAAAACAAATGAAACACCCCCCAAATATGTGTCAAATACAGAGCAGTGGCTTAAGAAATTTACACTAAATTTGAATACAAATTAGTTCTAAATAAAACTTTAAGAAAACTAGCTAAATATGTCAAAATCCCAAATTATCTGTTACAGTTAATTTGGACAGTGTTTGGTGGTAAAAGCTTTTACACGAAACAATGCATTTACCTTTTCTCACTATGAGAAATATAAACATTATGTTCCCTAAGAAAGATGTTGGATAAATCAGAATACTCAGTAGAGTCTTGTATTTAATGTGTCCTACTGAATTGTTATTCTATGTTAGGGCCTTAAATTCAGTTAATAGATTCTGCTAGATAAAAAGAAACAAGAAAACCAAGACAAATTTGCAGTATGTGTTCCTGTCCACTAAAGTTCAGACACACTGAGTACATGTGTCACTTGAATGTTAATCCTGTGTGAGATCTGGTTTAAGCAAACAATCTAATGGAAAATTAGTCAAGTAATTTCAAAAGAAGAAGAAGAAAAACTGTCAGTTAAGCAGTGCACTGAGGCCTGAAAAGATGAGAAGAAACCAAAACCCTGGTTGCGTAGATGCCGAGACTGGTTTGCATGGAGGAGTAATTTTGCTAAAAGGAAGTAAAACCAGTTGGTGCAATGTGTGGCCCTGTGATATGACAAACACTGGTCCAGTGTGCGAAATAGAAAGGTTTCACAGAGGCGATGAAAAAGTTTCTTAAAAAAATAACATTTTCTACAGTAAATTGAGAAGTTCCAACAAAGTCTATATCTTTTTACTACTGTTTTTGAACAATGATTTGGAGCGGGAATAGGGAGGGGAAAAGGGGAAACATACATACATACATACATACATACATACTTTTTCATTCAATAAATACCAAGGAACTAACAAAATGAATTAAAAAGCATTCTTTTTCTCTCTTGAAACAGCTCCTGTTATTTGGAAATTATGCCATTTTTACAAGATAAAATACATATTTTAAGGTGTTTACACACTGAATGCAAAATATTTTGAACTATGATGACACTTTGAATTCATATTTTTAGAGCATAAAGTTATTTTTAAGAACAAATAAATTCTTTTTTATGGGTGAATTTCTGCTGTTTTTAGCATATTGTACAAGCTAGCATTTTGGAGCCGTATAATAACCATTTCTGTTTCCAGCCACCAAATTGTTATTCTTTTGGCATAATATAGATTCAGGAATGCGAGACTGTGGACCCTAAACCAGTGATACAGAAACCTATCATTTGGAAATCAATGATGAAAACATGCGTGTGGTTTACTGCTAAGAAGAGCCTGCATTTAAGCTGGCTGGAAACCACAGCCTCCTCCTCACTCAGAATGCTGTGGCCTGTGTGGAGGCTGCTGTCCCACCTTAAGATAAATTCACCAGAGAGCATGGTCACATTTAAATTCAGGGGCCATGGAGGTGGGAAACACCACTTCTCAACAACCTTCTAATATACGGATTCATCCTTTCTTCATGCTGTGTTTTAAAATTACCCTCCACTTGGACCATTATCAATTTAGACGTGACTGTATGCAGATGTCACATTCTCTCGACCACTTAAAAGGACAAAAATTATAAAGCATGGGTGAATGGATTTCCTGATTACAGATCATAAGAAAATGAGGTATAGACCAACTTTAGAGTCCAGTGAAGTTTTTATAGTTTCATTTGATTAAAAATATTGTTTCATATAAAATAAAGCAATTTACGCTTTCAAGATGTAATTCTATAAAGGATAATAGAATCTACCACTGCTGACTACAAGTATATTAATACATTAAAAATTAGAGTAAACATTCAAGATTTGAAATATGGTGTTCTGGGAATTTTTCTCCACAGTTAACTTACAAACATTTACCTCTTTTTCTGTTTCAGTTTTTCTTTTATTGACTCCTATTTTAAGAAGTTGTAAATTCAAAGAACATATTCCTGGCTTACGATATTATGAGGCAGGCATTTTGCCTTGCCTCACTCAGCTCAACTGAGCATGGAAATCTTTGAGCCCACAGTTCTAAAATTTCTGTATTTAGTTGTTTAGGCATTATGAGTCTTCTCATTTGTTTTGTTTGCTTTTTATCTTTGCCAAGACTTTCAATTATAAATGCAAGCACATAAGATTAATGAGCACAAAACTGAAACTAGTCTTAGGGCCTGTGGCTACTCCTTTTTTCGGTCGTCTTCTCTCTCAAACTGTCAACTTAACTATTCCCTCCCCTCCCTCCATCTCTATATCCCACGAGATACCAAATCTTGTTCCATTTCTTTAAAAAAAAAAAAAAAAAGCCTGCCTGTATTTCTACTGCTGTCAATCTCATTCAGGCTTTCATCCCCATTTGACTGAGTCTTTCAATAACTTCCTACCTATTCTTTTAGTATCTAGTTGGAAGATTCTTCTCCAGGTACTAAACTGAGCTTCAGGAGGGTTTGAGCTATATGCAAACATCACATGTGTAAATGTGATGTTGGCCAGCCCACCTGGGGACATCTTTTCTAAAGTGCCTTTTTTTTTTTTTTTTTTTTTTTTTTTTTTTTTTTTTTTTTAAAAAAAAAAAAAAAAAAAAAAAAAAAAAGAGGACGAACTTACTATAGTTGACCCACTCTATCTGTCTAACCTAATTCCCAGTGGCCACAGCCAGGCTTACATCCTCTGAATATGCCTGTGTCTGGGAGTTCA